GGTATGGGTTCAAAATAGTGGGAGACAACTTTGATAAGAATATTATACGTCGCCACCAAAGAATTGACTGTAAAACGAGGTCATTTCATTTCTTCATCAGTTTTGCTGTAGAGGATAAGATTGATTTATCATCTTGCTCTCAGTGCCCTAACCCTTTTTTTCCTCAAAACCTATTTCGCAATTGCCTATTGATACTCTGTTGCCATCGGTGCCTGATGATGAGGCTCTTGTAGCTAATTTTTCCACCTTTGTAAGTCATGTTCTGGTTGCCGAATTCTCTTTCTGTTCTGACACTTTCAAATATGCTGTTGTAAATCACATACTGCGTGATTACTATACAGAAATGTCACAGAAGTCTGAAACTGTAAGTTATTGTGCTTACTCAAAATTTAATTTGTATGTCATTGTTCTTATAGACTCCTCTTGTAGTTATTTTTAAGAATGAAAATGTAGTTGAAGATTTGGTAGATATTATGCTGAAGCTTCAGTCTTATGTTCCTACTGAACACAGTACCATTGTTGACGGAGTTAGCAGGTCTACAATATTGTTTGATGTCACAAATCAAATTCTTTTGGGTGGTGTTCAATTAACTAGAAAAAGGGCCAAGTCTGCAAAATTTGCTAGAAGGAACAGTCCTATGACTGCAGAGTGTTTGGATGTTCTAATTCCAGTATGTGAGGACTAGCATGCTAAGTAGATTTTTCTGGAGGTACATTAAAATGTCAACATAATTTTATTTATTGTCATGCTACTTTAGATGATGTGGGCATGGATGTACAAAGGGAAAAGTTTTTTGGAAAAAGGAACACTGTGTCACCTAAGGAATGTTATAGACCGGTGTAACATTTCTGCTAAGGCGGCAGATGACTTCAATGCCTGTAAAGACTTTCTTGTTACAGTTGTGAAGTGCGATATAGTTGTTGCTGCCATGCAGTTCTTTCAGATTGAAGCAGCATCTGATTCTCCTGTTCATGATCTTCTGGTTGCTGATTTGTGGACTAAGCCTGAACAGGAAAGGAAGGAAGTGCTGGATAATGTGACATAAAGCATTTTTTTGAACTATGTTGATGTTCTAGCTCATTACAGTTTAAATGAAGATGTTGAAAAAAATGGCGTGATGTCATACGCACTGGCTGTATTGTCACATAGTCTTCTTTATATGGAGTTTAGTGACGCCATCACAGGGCGTGATGGAAGCAGAATGTTGAGATGCTGGCATTACTTCACGTTGATTTTTAAACACCATCAGAGAAAGGACACCTACTTTGAATATATTTGGGCAATACCATTTTTTTCTTACAGCAAGCAGTCACAACAATTAGTATTGTGAAGATGCATTAATGTAAAGGAATTACTGGTAGGAATATTCTGTGTGATCTGTTCTTGGAACATTTAAACAAAATTTGCAAGCAGTCTGTAGAAATGTTTGGAAGTAATAAAGAAGCACTGGAACGAGTAGGCCATTGCGTTTGCATCATTAACACTTTACTGGAGAATTTCAACCAAGATTTATCTGTTCCTGATATTTCAGGCTCTCACTCTATTGCTTCCTCAAAGAAAGACAAGTCTGCAATAGTAAAGGAACTTTTTGAAGCAGATATAACATCAGGATAATAGAAAACATTCTACATTTCAATCGATAAAAGCTAATCCTGTTTCATCACTTCGATACAATGACAAGTTTCGCAAATGTATACAGGCACAATTATTTTCATTAATGATAAAGTTTTTTTAAGTTGTTTGTTTAATTGAATTAATTCATTACTCTTTTAAATTGAAGTTATTATAATAAATTAAGTATTTTGATTAAACAAAACAGGAATAAAACTATAATTTAGTGATAAATTTTCTATGCAATGATTACAATTACCATTCCTGACAGAATTGTCACAAAACTTGCAGCCATGATTCTCTGGAGCCCTAACAACATTTTCAAAATCGTGAAACAAGACATTTCGCCTACATCGACATTTGTTATTGATGTCCTCCAAAACCTCCGGTTCACACTTATCAGTCAGCCGTTTCAATCATACAAGTATTGCATATGATTCCAAACCTTCCCTGCCTCACCTTCTAATCTGTTGGACATATGTCTCTTTGTCTGTAGGAACACAATAATGGATGATGCACCACATATCCTTACAATCAATGCCCATGCCGAAAGCATCTGTACATAGCACAATTCTTAATGACGAAGGTTTTGTAAAATTATAAATTATGCTTTTCTTCACATCTGAATCAGTGCCCTTCAAAAACATGACAACCAGACGTGCATGAGCTGAAGTTCTAGGAGGATGGCAAAAATACTTCCCTAAAAACACCTTAAAGTAAGAATACAATTGCTCTTAATTTTACAAAATATGATAATTTGAGGTAGTGATGTTAGCTTTGTTTTACTCACTCTCAAAATTAGATTCAAGAATGTAGGAACTTCAAATGAATTAAATCCCTTTTCAGGAATCACACTCAGCCTCATGTTAATTTTGTCAGGAGAACATATTATTGTGTATGGTGCTGCCATTCCTAAAATAGCCTAAATCTTCCTCAGTTGCTGTGTTGCTGTAGCAGTTAAGGCCATGACTGTAACTGCAGTAGGCATTACGCTTCGAACCTCCTGCAGTCTTGAAAAAGCATCTCTAAATAATAGTCCCCTATGAACAAAAAATATAGTCATAGAAACAAGATATCATATTGTGAATGATGCGGAATTTTACCATTTAACAAGACAGTGAGCTTCATCTATGATTAGCCCTACAAACCTGTTCTTGTACACTGAAGTAGAAAAAAGAGATCTCCATTTCTCTACAAGCAACTATGGACTCATATAAACAATGCTATAGGCACCATCTCTTACATTTTGAATAACATCAGCAGTAGATTCAGAACACACATAACCAGCATTAACATTATATTTCAATAGCCCTTGCACTTGATCGCAAATAAGTGCTGTGAGTGGTGATATGACTATTATTATAGCATTGTTGTCTCAACTTCTGTTTTGATACAGGGTGAAAGCAAATGGCAAACACGAGAAACAAGTGGTCTTGCCATATCCTGTAGGTAGAATGGCAAAAACATCTCTACCTAACATGAACTCTCAAATACAAAGAGCCTGCTCCTCTTTCAGTGATGGAAATCCTTGTGAACAAGCACCTTCTACTATAGCTTTATCTAATCTGTCCATGACTCAAGGTTACGCATGGTTTGGGCGTGGTTTAACACTGATGACTGATGCTACAACATGCCTACATCATGCTAACATCACACTTAATCAACATCCACGTGGCTGTTACTGGGACAAAGCCACATTAAGCATTGTACCAGACCCTTCCCCCGCAGGGAGGCAAGGGTCTGGCCAGCAAAACTACCACTGTCTGTAATATTTGGCTGTAATTATCTATTCTAACAATAAAAACAACAAATGCTTGAAAAATGTTTTGTATGTAATATGTATGTACTTCGTCACAATGTCTTCTCCATTTTGTCATACACTTTTTCTTGCCATAACTGGTCATGTATAACCATCAATAGCTAAAGTGTGTTTAGCCGTTAAATGCAAAAACAAAACAAAGAGCCTTACCTGATGTTTTCAAGTACTTCATTATGTTGTTGCTGTAATGGATTGAGACATTTCGAAATTCTTTTTCCCAGATCAATTTTCTTCATAATAATATCAATCAGACTGATTATTATGGAATTAACTTACTCACTACAACAATCCAGTGTGATTGCAAGGGTAAAGGACACAAGAATCTTCTTGCATATTGCATGTTAGTCCAAAGGAACATATAATTAATTTTTATCTTAATATTGCATTACCTTAATGTGACTATCATAATGTCCTTTCAATATGGCAGCATAAAAATGAGTAGACAATGAATAAGAATATGTTCTACCGAATGGGACATCTTGCACTGCTTTTAAAATATGCATGTAGAAATAAATTATATCTAAATGTGACCCAATATGAGAAAACCAGGCTATCTGCGGGATTTTGGTAAAATCAGTTTTTGGTACTTACAGATAGAGAAAAAAATTTCCTTTCCAGCGATATCCCATTTATGACAATGCGCAATAAAACTTTGCAGTTAGGGACGCTGTTTGGACGATTGCTCTGGAATACAAGTACAGAGAAAAAGGCATATTAAGTTATTTTCAATGTTTCCGTGTCACGCCCGTTCACGTAGTAAATGTGACCACGCCCACCACGTAAACCACACCCAAATCAATTAATAAACGGGTAAAGAAGAAAGAAGCACTTGACAGCATTTTAACTTACTTTTCTTGCTTTTTGGACATCTTAAGAGTGATCTAAAGCCCAGCCATGCATTGAGACATCAAATACAAGTAAGTTATTCCATTACAAAAGTTGTAGAATTATTGCTATGTGTTCTAGTGCCATTAAAGTCCTTTTTGTGAACTGTAATAACATCATCTGGGTCATTTACATCCAGACATCGCTTCTGCTTGAGTTTACAGGTAATATTTTTATTTAGATTTTATTTAGAAGTATAATTAAGGTTCCTACATTTAACATTAAAATAATTTATAGTTTTAGCACTTGCTGATGAATCCTATAAAAGATTATTGTTATTCTTATGTTTCATTATGTTCCTTTCCTTACTGTTGGACGAGGGGCTCCTCCTGTTCCTTCTTGGCCTCCCCCTCTACCTCCTTGGCCTCCTCCCCTCCCTCCTTGGCCTCCTCCCCTCCCTCCTCTTCCACACTTTCCACATTTACCCCACCCTCCTCTGTGTTGCCTTCGCTTTTTCTAAGCAAAGGAAAAATTCTAGTGATTACTCATTTCAATAATGCTCTTTTGATACTTTAAATTTTTTTCCTTTGTCTCTCTCGGTCCCTGTCACAGTCTCTTCTCCTGTCCCTGTCTCCTTGCCTGTCTCTGTCTCTTCTCCTGTCTCTGTTTCTCCTCACTACTCCCCATCCTCTCCCTCCTGCCCTCTTCAATGAGTTCCAACTGCCCTAAATTACAATGGCATAAAGCCTTTAATTTACACTTAAAATTAAGTTTACTTCGGAGAGCAGGCCTGAACTGTTCCCAGTCTTTAGTTAAGAAATGTGAATTTAAAGTACAAGTAATTCAACTATTGTTTAATTACCTAAG